TCAAAACGTTTTATACCCTATTTACACCTGTACCACTTGTGATCTGATTGACTAAAATGCATCTTAATACCAGGTGTACTCTCTGTGTGTGTGTGTGTGTGCATGCCCAAAAATAGTATTTATATTAAGTTATTTTATTAATATTTATGTAATTATTATTAAATTATTGTAATTATTTGTATTCATTTTTTAAAAACTATTAATGAGTGTATTAATATGTGTATATATGTGTGTGTATAATATATATATATATATATATATATATATATTAGGGCTGTGCAAAAATTAATTGTGATTAATCGCATCCAAAATAAAAGTCTGTGTTTACATAATATATTTGTGTGTGCTGTATATAATTATTTTGTATATATAAATACCTATGCATGCATGTATATATTTAAGAATTATTTGTGCGTAAATTCTGTATTTGTATATAATACATAATCTATATTATATAAATATAAATATTTTATATAGGAATAAACATTTTCTTAAATATATACATGCATGTGTGTGTATTTATATATACAAAATAATTATATACAGCACACGCAAATATATTATGTAAACACAGACTTTTATTTTGGATGCGATTAATCACAATTAATTTTTGCACAGCCCTAATATATATATATATATATATATATATATATATAATATATATTTATTTATTTATTTATTTATATATATATATATATATATATATATTAGGACTGGGCAATGAATAATCGCATCCAAAATAAAAGTTTGTGTTTACATAATACATAATTATTACATAATTATTTTGGATATAAAAATTCACATACATGCATGTATATCTTTAAGAAAATGTGTGTTATTAATATATAAAATTTTAACATACAGTATATATTTAATATATATTTTATTAAATTATGTATTAATATATATACAGTACATGCAAATATTTCTTAAATATATACATGCATATGTGTGTATTTTTATATATATATATACTGTATATACACACACAAAATAATTATACACACTACAACACACACACATATATATAAACACAAACTTTTATTTTGGATACGTTAATTGCGATTAATCGTTGCCCGGCCCTTATATATATATATATATATATATATATATGTATGTATGTGTGTTGTGTTTTGTCATTGTGCCATGTACTGTATTCGGTTGTTAATCTCTCTCCACATATTTAATATTTAAATAGTTGTATGATGATTAATGTCTTGCTCCAGGTACTGTCGACAGATTTTATCTTGTATTTAATACATGATTTCTCGTGTTGATCCGGACCGGTGTAGTTTAGTCCGTGTGTGTTTGTTTATGCATACTGTCTGACAGCTGTCTAACACCCTGCCAGTCACACACACACACACACACACACACACTGCACGCAGTCACAACACTATCAAGGTCACATTGCTCCTTGCACTATCTTTCCCTTTCCTCCTTTTTACCCGACAGAAGGATGTGTCACAAACTGCTCAAGATGTTAGTGTTCGTGACTCAGTTTAGTGTTCTGTGTGAAACTGATGATCACTACACTAACCAGATCTCCTGTAATGCTCACTGTCCGTCTCCTCAATGCTTCACACATGTCAAATCAGACCCTGGATCCTCCATGTTTGCCCACCAGCATGAGTAACCCTTGCTCTTCCCTGACTCCTGAACGCCAGCATCATAGGCCTGTGTTTATGATCGGTGTGTGTGTGTGTGTGTTCCCACAGGGAGCTGTACGCCGGAGAGACACAGGAGAGAGAGCGGGACAAACCGAAGGACACGGGTCTGCAGCCCAACATGTCGAAAGAAGAATACATGAAGATGATGCTTTGTGAAAGCCCCGGAGAGAGCGGACACGGGAAGGTACGCCTCAAACACGCTCTTTTTAAACTCCAAAATACTATTTCAATCTTTCCGCTTCAAATGCGTTACTCGCCGTTTCTTTGTAATTATTTGTTAAATTGACTAGCAATTTCTAGAAATTGTATCAATTTGTGATACAATGTACCATGGTGTATGTCCGAAATATCTTATCTTTGGTAAAGTCATTTCGACGGGATTTCTGGGACACGATTCTGTAATAATTCCATGTTTTTAAGGCATTTACCAGGGTAATCATGTATTTTCTATGGTAATACCATTGTTGTTTGGTTTTGTTTTTTTTGTTTTTTTTTTTGTAATATTGTTTTTTTTTGTGCATTTTCTTGAACACTTTTCACAACAATGTACATCACATGTCTGTAACATCAAATATAATGTACAAAAACAAAACAAACAAACAACGGGGCTCTTATTACCTGAAAAGTGCAATAGCACAAACCAACAATGGATAATAAAGTATGTAAACAATACACTGCAATCAAAGATAGCTACAGATATACGAAAAATAAAATAGGGTTAGTAATTAAATTAATAAAATAGGGTTAGTAATTAAATTAAAATATTTTTTCAAATAGATATGATATCTAATCAAGCATTTTGTTCCTCCTCCATTATATCGTTCATAACCCCATGCTCAATAAATAATAAAAAGGGACTCCAAATCTCCAAAAAAAAAAAAAAATGTAAAAAAAAAGTCAATTGATGTGCATTGTCCCTTTTAAAAAAAAAAAAAAAATAAATAAATGTTTTTGTAGATGTATGATGGCAACACCGTTTTTCAGACCATAGTGTACCATAATGTTTTATATATGTACCATGATACATTGTTTACAATGGTAATTTCATATTTTTTGTTGTTTCATATTATTTTAAACTAATTTATTCCTGTGATCAAAGCTGAATGTTCAGCATCATTACTCCAGTCTTCAGTGTCACATGATCCTTCAGGAATCACTCTAATATGATGATTTCTGCTTTGTATTTTCGTGGAGACTAGTAATTTCATATTTTTTGTTGTTCTTTGAAACAATGCTTTGTTTTTGTACTTTAATATTATTGTTCAAAAGTATATTTACCATTGTAATACCACATTTTTGATGGTATTATTATGTCTAAAAAAAAAACATATGCATGTTATTTTAAATATTTACTGTGGTAATCATGTTTTTTTTTTTTTTTTACTTACCTTAACGTCATAATATTTTTTAGATCTGGTAATACTGAAAAGAGTGGTAAAAGTATATTATGGTGTTTCTGGAGATGTACTATGATAAAACTGTTAGACAAGTACCATGGTAATGTCATTGTGATTTTAGATATGTATCTCAATAGTAATGTGATTTTGGGCATTTACTGTCGTAATACAGTGGGTTTTTTTTTTTTTTTTTACCATGGTAATGCCATGTTTTTTAGACATTAACATGGTAATCATGTTTTTTTTTCTGTCTTTACAATATCAATATTTTTACTATAGTAATAATATGTTTTTGGTGTATTATTGTACCACCAAAGTACCATGGTTGTCTTTGAAGGACAGTAGTAACTTATATAGAGTACTGTATAAATACTGTAGTATATGTAAATGATAAATATGCACTTTCATTACATGCACTTTCTGATGTCAAAAGGTGCCTTACCATTAGCTCGGATTAGTATGTGAATGTAGTCTCAGTCTGGGCTGTGTCTCTCTCTCACACACACACACACTGTAGGGCTGATAACATAACATTTGTGTGTGTGTTATCAGCCAGAGCCGCTTCTGGACACACACACGATAACACGAGTCTCAGAGCGAACAGATTCGGTTTCGGGAAGCTGATTGACGAGCCCTTGCTGTGTTTCTTCTCTTCGTGTTGAATCTGACAGGATTCAGGGGTGGAAGTTGTTGTTGGAGTGTGTGTTTTCTGAAGTCCCCTCTGCTCCTGAGACCGTCTTAATTGTGTTTCCCAGTTCCCGTGTCTCTCCCTCGGCCCGTTATCTGACAGCAGAGATGCACAATGCCCTATTTTCAGTGCTGCGTGTCATGTTGCAGCGCCCTCAGTGGCAGACGGATCATTTTGCTTCAGACCAGCGTGATATCAGTGAGCAGTGCGGTACGAGAGGCTGTGCTGTATCGCGAAGCGGAGTAACCCCTTCAGCCGTCACTTATTCACTTGCCTCGAGTACCTTATTGCTTTTATTAAACGGTTGCCACACAATAAAAATATTACAGTAAAAAAGTGCAACTTTCACAAAGTATAATCAATAAAAAGCCTTCCTTCCGCTAGAAAAAATAGTCCCAAGACACAACATAGGAACTGCAGTGTTGCGCAGCGATACATAGAACCCATGTTTTATCATGAATAAATCACAGCTATTGACCAATCAGAATCAAGGATTGGAACTAACCGTTTTCTAAAATGTTACAGACCAGTAATCCCAAAATCTGTGCTTCATCTGCACTTCTCCGACATCTTCTGTTTCTGCATGCAGTTGCTAGCGTGAGAATCAGCAGAGCACACTGAAAGTCTCTCAGATATTCTGGTTTCTTAAGTCCCTCCTTTAATATTTGTTTGTTTATCGTTGTTTTGTTTTAGTTTAAAAAGTAATCCTGCATTTTGATTAATGCAAATATTACATGTAGCCTCTCATTTGTCACAGTACATTACGTACTTACATCACTGTACTGTACTCTTATTACTTAAATCCAAAAAATGGTCGGTTACAATAATTAATTGAAAATACTATTTTAGATCCAAATAAATGATTTGTTAAATATATGAAAATAATATTATTTTACTGTAATTTATATGCTATTATAGTTTTTATTAATTTTTAATTAATTAATTAATTTTTTAATTTTAATTTTAATTAATTTTTTAATTAATTTTGAATTCACTTTTATTTTTATATTTTCATTTAAATCTTTAGCTATGTGCTTTTGTCAATTTTTTTTTTCTTTATATTAATATTTAGGTTGAATTTAATTTGATTTCAGTTTTAGTTTTTTATTTATTTCCAGTTGATAATTCAAGTGCTTCAACCTAAACGAAAAAGGAAACATTTCTCAATTCTGTTTTTCATCTAATATTATTTTAATTGATTTTAGCTTTAATTCAGATAAAAAAATTTCTAATAATTTTTGTTTTTGTAACAAAAATCGCCTTGCCGCGAACAAGTTGAATATGATATGTTTTTAAATTATTGAAATATTAACGTAAGATTATCAGGGGTATACTTAAGAGATTTGACTGCTTCGTGGTATACTATTTAAATCCATTTCCTTACAAAACAAATTATGAATTATTAATTTGTAAGCTTGTTTTAGAACATATAATGTTTAGTTATAGCATATAACATTAGTTTTTGTACAAACGCAGCTGTTACTGGTCCATCACAGATCTCCACCAGCGAAGGGTTTTTATTTTAAAGGCCACACGTTCGCCCGGAGACAGAGCTGTCATTGTGGAGCGCGAGCCGGAATGGAAAACATTGTCAATCTGGGTTTCTTCCTCGTGGAAAAGTGAGCGGAGGAGTGAGCGTCCCGCTGTCCTGTTAAAGTACATTACAGACACTGATCTGAGACGTTCATACTTTCATCAATCTGTCCTCTGGTTTTATTCAGACACAAATGAGTGATGATGAGCAGGTGAAAAACGATTCAATATCACTATACAGATACACTACCCGTCAAGTGTTCTTGAATAATTACGATTTTGTTCATGTTTTTGAAAAATGTCTCTTCTGTTCACCAAGGCTACATTTTATTTGATCAGAAAATCATTGAAATATTATTATAATTTAAAACATCTGTTTTCTATGTGAATATACTGTATTATATAATATATATTATGTAATATATTTTATTTATTCCTGTGATCAAAGCACATGATCCTTCAGAAATCACTCTAATATGATGATTTGATGCTTTGTATTTTCGTGGAGACTGTGATACTTTTTTTCCCAAATATTTGATTAAATAGAAAGTTCAAAACAATAGAAATAGAAATCATTAGTAACATTATAAATGTCTTTACTGTCACTTTTGATCAATTTGAAGCATCCTTACTTAATAAAAGTATCTTTCTTACCCTTTATTTGTAGTGAATCATGGTTTACACACAAAGATGAACAGTTTTCATCATTGATAATATTCAGAAATATTTCTTGAGCATCAAATCCTCATATTAGACTGATTTTTGAAGGATCATGTGACACAAGACTGGAGTAATGATGCTGTAAAAAGGAATAAATTACATTTTAACGTATATTTACATAGAAACCAGTTCATATTTCACAATATTGCTATTGCTAAACAAATAAATGCAACCATGGTGAGAGAAAAAAAATCTTCTTTTTAACAGCATTTGCTCCCCTGTTTTCCAGACGAGTAAAGACTGGGACGTGTTTTATTTGCAGTGATGTAGTTTGGAGCTGCGCTAAAGCCCGCTCTTACGGAAGCTGCTTCTTAACCCCCATTTGAGGCTGTTTTAATGTGAGAGGACCAGACCGGATCTAGTCCAATAAAGTTGCATGTGTGCAAGAGGCCGAGAGAGAGAGAGCTTGAAGGAAATCTTGCGGGTGGTTCATGGTTCAGCGATGGGATTTGAGTGGGCTTTTGCTCTAAAGGAAGTGAAAACAGTGAGTTCTGGCCCGGAGGCGTTTAGCTTTGCTGAATCCCGTGTGCCGTGACGTCTGCTTTCCCTCCGGTAATGGCAATTCAGCAGACGGACGTTTTTGATCAGGTCTCAAATGGTGGAAGACGTATTGTGTGCTATAAATAAAATGAACAGGATCAAGTGACTCCGCTTGGGAATGAACCAACTTCCTCTGGCTCACGCTCTGGATGGAAAACATATATACAATGTATCTAAATAGCTTTGGCACAGTTGAAGCCTATTAGCTCATGAGTGTGTGTTTAACTCTGTCCTCATGCCATACATGACATGTAGTAGGACTAGCTAGTGAGCTATCTACCTAGACTGCATATATATATATATTAGGGGTGTGTAAAAATTAATTGCGATTAATCGCATCCAAAATAAAAGTCTGTGTTTACATAATATATTTGTGTGTGCTGTATATAATTATTTTGTATATATAAATACACACACATGCACGTATATATTTAAGAAAATGTGTTATTCATATATAAAATATTTATATTTATACAATATAGATTATGTTTTTTATAAATATATACAGAATTTAAGCGCAAATAATTCTTAAATATATACATGCATGCAGAGGTATTTATATATACAAAATAATTATATTCAGCACACACAAATATATTATGTAAACACAGACTTTTATTTTGGATGCGATTAATCGCAATCAACTTTTGCACAGCCCTAATATATATATATATATATATATATATATATATATATATATATATATGATGAGAAGCTGCTTCATGTGATGCTGCCTTCTAAGTTACCTCATTTTGTCCAAATTTGGCATTGCATTTGTCTTTGCAATCCCATAATGCATTGCAACAAGAAAAACATGACAATGATAGACTGTGTTGAGAAATGTTTGGTGATGTTTTAAATATTTTCGCCAAAGCTGCATTTATTTAATTGAAAAACAGTCACATCAGTAATATTGTGAAATATTATTAAAATTTAAAATAATGTGAATATAGTATGTTAAAATGTAATTTATTCCTGTGATCAAAGCGTGTCACATGATCCTTCAGAAATCATTCTAATATGATGATTTGCCACTCAAGAAACATTTCTGATTATTATTAATGTTGGATTTCAATAAATACACTGTAAAAATGAAAATGCTTTATCTAATCAATAAAATTGTGGCAACAGATTACAAGCAATATTATTTATTAAATTGAACAAATTAGAAGTGAGTAATAGTTAATCAAATTAATATTCTAATTAATTCTAATTTGTACAATTTAATTAATAATATTGCTTCTAATATGTTGCCACCATTTTATTTATTAGATAAAGCATATTATTTTTTTTCAGTGTATAAAAGTTGAAAAGAACAGCATTTAATTCAAATAGAAATATTTAGCTGTCACTGTTGATCAATTTAATGCATCGTTGTTGGATAAAAGTATTAGTTAGCTTTAAAAATCACACTGAGGGCATCATTTGAACAGTAATGTATAATGGGTTAATAAATTATGTTTTTTTAAATACTATTTTGCCAGATTTGTGTATGTCATGTATTGTAAAGTTATAGTTGTAGATGGCTAAGGCCATTGAAATCACTGTGTGTCACGTGAGGAGTATTAACTTAAGTCAAATCACTAATTTCTGATGCTTCATTTCTGTTTTGCTGCTGCTAAGTATGCATTAAGATGCTCAGTACCTTTTAGACTTCAACACTTTACATTAATGCATTTGGCTTTGACGCTTTTACAAAGCAACATTTAATTATTATTATTAATAATAACATTCAATTATCAGTTCATGCATACCCCAGAAATCCTATCCATGATCTACTCTTTGAGCCACAGGAACCCTTCAAATAGACTTGTAGACTAGCTAATGTTCGGATAGTGCGCTCTGTGTGATGCACGGGCCCCGGGGCCGCTCTTACCCCTGTCATCCAGCTGACCGAATACGGCTCAAGCAACACACTCTCAATACTGCACAGCTGTAGATAAAGAACAGGCTTTATTTATAACATCCTGCTGTTTAGCGACACAAGACCGTGAGGATTTTCCATGTATTCAGTCCAAAACAAACCTACTAACCCCCGTCCTGCTGGGAGACATAGTGATTAGAGACTTTGTGCATATACGATTATATGTCTTAGCAAGAATTTTGCAATAAAATAGCTCAAATAAATGTAATTTTCTGGTATTAACGGATTAGTTCACTTTAAAAAAAAAACTTTTGCTGATAATTTACTCACCCCCATGTCATCCAAGATGTCCATGTCTTTCTTTCTTCAGTCGAAAAGAAATTAAGGTTTTTGATGAAAACATTCCAGCATTTTCTCCATATAATGGACTTCAATGGGGTCCAAACAGTTCAAGGTCCAAATGAGAGTTTCGGTACAAACTGCAAACTGTTCAAAGGGCTTTAAACGATTCCAGACGATGAATATCAAGCAAAACGATCGCTCATTTAAAAAATAAATAACAAAGTTTAAGTTTTATAAGCTCAAATGCTCACTTTGCGCTGTTCTGTGATGCGCGTCCGTGACTCTCCTGTTCAAACTCGTTCATCAAAATGAACAAATCTTTTTTCGAGTCAATTCATTCATTTTGTTCGTTAAATGATTCGAAAAAAGAGTTCGAACAGGAGAATCACGAACGCGTATCACAGAACAGAGCAAGGCGAGCATTTAAGCTTATAAAACTTAAACTTTGTTATTTATTTTTTAAATGAGCGCTCGATTCGCTTGATATTCATCGTCTGGAATCGTTTAAAGCCCTTTGAACAGTTTGCAGTTTGCACTGAAACTCTCATTTGGACCTTGAACCGTTTGGACCCCATTGAAGTCCATTATATGGAGAAAATCCTGGAATGTTTTCATCAAAAACCATAATTTCTTTTCGACTGAAGAAAGAAAGACATGGACATCTTGGATGACATGGGGGCGAGTAAATTATCAGCAAAAGTGAACTACTCCTTTCACCCAAAAATACAAAAATCCCTCATGTCATTCCAAACCCATAAGACTTCATCATCTTCAGAATACAAATGAAGATATTTTTGATGAAACTCGAGAGCTTTCCGATCCGTCCGACGTCATTGCCATTTTCAAGGTCCAGAAAGGTAGTAAAGCCTGGCCCATGTGACGACAGTGGTTCAAATGTAATGTTATAAAGCTATGAGAATAGTTTTGTTTTTTTCACAAATTGTTGCATAAAGTCATTTGACATCTGTGATTTACGTTATTCACGTGTGTCTCCTGTCAGGCATCAGCGGCGGGAAGCCTGTCACCGAGGCGTTCCCTGTACCGGACCGTCTCGGACGAGAGTGTGTGCAGTAATAGGAAGGGGTCGTCCTACGCCAGCTCGCGGAGCTCCATGCTGGACCAGGCCATGCCCAACGACATCCTGTTCTCCAGCACTCCCCCGTACCACAGCACCCTGCCCCCCCGCATCAGCCTCAACCAGCCCGCACCCAAGCTCAAGAGTGAGTCCTGCACCTCACGCCACATGCATACTCCTGTCACAGTGCGGCACGGTATATATATGACACAAACGCTGCATTCACACTGCACAGATCCGACCGTTTACATTCACTTTAGACAGGACGGGAATCCCATATCTGTGTTTACATTTATCCCCCCCCCAACATGATTTTCTGTGGTTGTTATGGCCGTGCTATTAAAATGATTTCTTTAATTCATCTCATGTGGTCATGATTGTTTGCCAGCATGAGAACAGCTGTCATGACTCGGCACAACAGATTTACAGTCCGGAAATCATTTTCATTTGTCTACAGCTCAGATGTACAATTCTGAAGTGAAATAAGGTTGTTTTTTTATGAGTTCGAATGAATTAACCAGAGAGAGAGAGAGTGACCTAATAGTTAAGCTTGTTGGTGTAGCCCTCAAACCGTATTCACTTTATAGCCCTTAATCCTGTAATTGTGGACAAATGTGGGCACAGAGGACTCAGGTGTGATCCTAATTTATGATGTTATATCACTGTCTTCGATAAAGTTTTGTCTATCCATTTATGGTGTTTTTATTTATTTTGGGGGTATTTTTGAATTTATTTACTTCAAAAAAGTACCATATTTTCTATGTAAATTATGCTTATTTTTATGTTTACTAAAAATAACTACATTAAAATATCATTGCGATAAGTTCTTAGAGCTAAAACCTAAAGATGAAGTGACTTTGCTGTCACTTGGTGTCTTATTTTGGCTTATTTTCGAATGCTCTAAATTACAGTTTTTCCCATTCATTTCTATGGGTGCCCATTTTTGACCCAAATACGATTAAGGAGTTTTTTTTTCACCCACTTAACATTGTAGAATTGAGTCAAAAAAATTGTCTGTTTAGGAGGCAAACTTAGGAAAAGTAGCCAAGTCTTGTACCCACATTTGTCCAGAATACGGTTTTAGGGTTAATTGCAGCGAAGTTATGATCTAATTGCTGAGAAATATAATGCAGCTTTCATTAGCTGTTTTATTTCTAAATGTCACGGGCAGAGGTTCGTGCCTGTGTTTGTGCCATTTCTTTTCTTTACAAAGATAAATATAAAGTTCCCAGCTCAATAAGCTGTGAGTGAGCGCACACACAGGCACGTCTGCCTCATAATACAACATTAAAGCTATATATGTGAATAAACGTGTCATGCTCGTCTTGTATTGGCTTGAATTCAAAGGGGAATCGTATATGTGTGTTTAGACATAGGTCGGGTGTCCAGATATCGGATATGTATTTGATTTAAAACCATATTTGAAAAAAACGTATCTCGTGTGGATTTATGTGCAACGATCCGTGTCAGATGTGAGTAAAAGGTCGGATTTTTGTGCCAGTGTAAACGCAGAGAAATGGCATTTTACATAATTTATGTCAAATTTGCATTGATGCATCTTCACATCGCATGTCTGAATATAACCATAGGGGAGATTTAGAGCATAACAGCCGCTGGTCACTGTAAATAAAACCATTAGAAACCATACAGGTTTGTCCGTGCGCTTCAGCCCCATACGGTTTATCCACACAGATTCATTTCCTGACCAGAGAGGCTGTTGTGTATATGTGACACCGAACCCAGTGTGAGTCCTTTTATATGGCATCTTTAATTAAAAGCCAGGAAGAAGAAAATGTCACGGTTAAAGCGTTCTTGCTCCGCACAGAGAAGACACCTGTCACAGCCGTGAGGATCAGGATTATGCGTCATTACCGCACCGATGCTGGGATTGATCCTGCTAAAGTGTTTCAGACACATTATAAATATGTCAATGTAAGAATATCAAACCAAGAGTCTGTATAAATCTTTTCTCTTCAATAATATCACTTTTGAACAACATCAAGCTGGTGATTTTTGTAAATGTACATTATGACATCAAGTGTATTTTCAGCGTTAAAGTGTTTGTGCTATTATTCTGTAATGAATGACGCTTGGTTTAATACTATGTGGTCTAATGCAGTAATATTAATTATAATATTGTAATATATTCTATATTTATATTATAAAAAATATATATTTTATTTATTTATATATATATTAAATATTATTTATATGAATTAATATTAATTTTAATTATAATACTCATTAATATATAATTGTAGTTAATTGTATTATTATTAATTATAATAATAATGTTATTGTTAATTATAGTACATATATTTAATATATTATATATAATCCTAATTAATTTTTAGCAATAACATTATTAACAATAACAAATTAACATTATTAACAAAAACATTATTAGCATTAATATTATTAATTATAATAACTGCATTTAATATATATTTCTAATTTTATTTTTAATTTATATATTTTTAATATGACTTATTCATTATTTTGTTATTAATAATAAAAACTTGTATTATTGTTTATTATATACTTAAAATCTTTATAATCTATATTTAATATTAATTATTATGAATTGTTAATATATATAGTTGACATATTTATATAGATATATTCCCAATTCATTTTTAATAAAAACATATCTTAATAATATCAATAATATTGTTATTATTATTTTTATTTTTTTACTTAAATCTCTAAATCTGGTTTTGGTCCACAGTGACGGTATAAACCGCAGATCTTCACTGTCACTGCTTGTTTATAAGGGAGTAAAACTTGGTAAAAACAGATGTGCTGCGAGCGACATTTGAAATGTATATTAGATAAAGGCACGGCTACACATCAGAGCAAATAATCACATATAATTTGGTTTAAACTAAAGGATCTCTAATATGAACAGATTGAACAGTTTTAATCAGTGTGTGAGAGATGATTCATCTATAGCAGGTTTTCGAGTGGCCCGCGGTGGCTGATTGCTGTCACGCGTGATCAATTTCTGATTGTTTCGACAGATAGCAGTTTGCAGAATTTTTTTCTCACCCTGCTCATCTAGTGAATGGTCTAATTTGACAGATTGCGTCCCTCTGAGGCTCAAACACACACACACACACGCACATTTACCTCCAGCGTTCTGCCGTTTTTCCCTCACATCCTTTTCAGAGCGAGTTCTTTGTGAGATGGGAAAATGTTTACGGCATGTCCTGTCTATGAGGCTAGAGACAGACAAAAAGAAGATATTAACCAGATTAACTACGTCACACCGCTTATATAGGCCTATATATATTCATACATTCATTTCTTATTCAAACAAAATCCTGTCAGCATCTCCTCCCTTCCTCTGTCATCCTCATCCTTTTCACCAGAAATGTGTTTTAGGTGGACAGATCAACACAAATATGTCATTTTGAAGCTTTTTAATCTTCGCTATTGCTTCAATGCAAATGAACAATTATGTGTGTGTTCAAGTAAGTCAGATATACGCAGATTCTGTGCAATACACTGTTCTTAAAGGATTCGTTCACTTTTAAAAAACTTTTGCTGATAATTTACTCACCACCATGTCATCCAAGATGTCCATGTCTTTCTTTCTTCTGTTGAAAAGAAATTAAGTTCCAGGATTTTCTCCATATAATGGACTTCAATGGGGACCAAACGGTTCAATGTCCAAACGAGAGTTTCAGTGCAGCTTCAAAGGGCTTTAAACGACACCAGACGATGAATAAGGGTCTTATCAAGCGAATCGATCGCTCATTTAATAAAAAAATAAATAACAAAGTTTCAGTTTTATAAGCTCAAATGCTCGCCTTGCTCTGTTCTGTGATGCGCGTTCGTGACTCTCCTGTTCAAAAATGAACGATTCTTTTTTTGAGTCATTTCGTTCGTTGAATTAACCAAATGACTCGAAAAAAAGATTCGTTTAAAAGCAAAAGCTTATTTAAAAGTGAACTACTCCTTTAATATATCATCGCTATTTTGGTTTTCACAAACTTCCCCAGCAACGTGAATAAACATAATAAGTAACACGCCAGTGATTTGACGGCGTTCATTTCAAACCCTGAGCATCAGTGTGTTCGGGAGCGCAGTGTCAGCTCTTTTCTTTTCACATTCTCGAAGACTTTCCTCTCCAGTCGAGCAGATCTTGAGTGAATGATCCGATCTGGCTCTCGTTCTGCTGTTCGGATCTCATCACGCCGGTTATTCATCAGCACTGTCACTCCCCCTGCCTTCATTACTGTGACCTTCATGACCTCCGCGAGCCGCTTCTGTCTGTAAACCCAGGAGAAGCTCACGAGATGGAAGAGGCCGTTAGATTGACAGTAACGTGTGGCGGCGAGTGTGTGTGTCACTGATCTGTCTGTGTGTGTGTGTAACCATCTCTATAGATGAGTTCTGGTTCTCTGACGGCTCGCTTGCAGACCGGGCAAAGTTCAGCGACCCGGGTCTCATGCCTCTCCCAGACACGGCCACGGGCCTGGACTGGTCTCACCTCGTAGACGCGGCAAGGGCCTTTGAAGGTATGTGGGGAAATGCTCGGTGTGTGTGTGGTGAGAGACGGACACGCTATTTCTACATGTTCATCTTTCTTTAGTGTGTTATGTTCTTCTCTATATCAGTGTCAGTGTTTCTGAACTCCTGAAACGCCTCCACTGTAGTCTTGTGTTTCTTCTGCGAACGAACACGTCACAATATTCCTCATTATAATAATTAATACGCATAATAAAGGGGCGGGGCCTGGTTGAGTTAGTTGAAACTGGCGGTTATGGTAAGAGGCGGGACATTTACGAAACACACCCGAAGCGCTTGACCAATCACAACACACTGATCCAGCCGACCAATCAGAGCACAGTGTGCTTTCAGAAGGAGGGGCTTCATAGAGACAGGAACTAAACCGAGCGTTACTGACAGACTGGGAAGAGAGGAGCCGCAACAACCTCAGCAAGTGAAAGTAAAAGGGTTCGGGTTCAAACTTTCACATCTATGCATTTAGAAGATCCTTTCCAATCCACACTTAATTTAAGATTTATGTATTTAAATAGCATATAAAATGTCAGTGCATTTGAATTACAAAATTTGAACATGCATAAAATAATTATCTTAATTTGTCAGACATGCATTTATGAAACAGGTCAGATTCCTGTAATAGTAAAATGAGTGTGTTTTAAATACACCATAACCAGGTTTATATATTATAATCAATAAATCCAATTAGTTTCAATCTCATACATTTTAACTACTTGAATATTGATTGATCAACAGCATGCCATATTTGAGCCATGTTCATACACTGTTTCACTGAATCAATGAATGCAATGCTTTGAACAGTGAACAGATTGATGCTGATTCTAATAAATGCATGTTGAAAATATAGATGCAAATTATTAATAATTAACTATCCCTTGATTTTTGTCCTGCACAAATTTCTATAGTCAGAAGTATTTCCTGTGTGCGTACATTTAGTTCACATTGTAGAAAACAACAGGGAATCTGTTGAAAAGTTCATTGAGAAACAATATAAGCTTCACATTAATTTTAATACTTTGTTAAAACTGTAATCCAAATGTATTGTAATGCATTCAAATACATAAATCTTAAAGAAAAGGAAATCCAAGGCACTCTTTTCTTTACCCTGAAGAATATCTGGTATTTATATATGAACTGCAGCTGCATTTTAATAGTCACTATCATGTTTGGGGTCTGTTGCATCATGTGCCACATCCATCAAGTCCCAGAATGCATGAATGTATTAACATGGCGACACACAGGGGAAGTCTAGTGTTTAATTACAAACACTGATTTCTGTGAAGAAACAACAGAACATGCTGAACTTTGAGGACTCAGACTCTGGTTTTCATGTGGTTTACTCAAGCATGATTAGAGCTCAGAGGAGAGACACACTGAGGTTTTATTGTCATGTTTTTAATGAAAGGATCAGAAACACACATGTAGGAATCTCCTAAAAGAGATGAGCGTGAATTAAACTTTACATTCTGCTGAAAGCGTTCAGATTGGTGTCTGTCTCCATATGCTGTGATGAGTGTTCATTGATTTGCGAGACGCGATAAAATAACATTGCTGTCTGTCTTTCTGCTGAACGTGTCATTAGGACTTTCACACACAGATTGAAACCCTTCACATCTGCACAATAGTCATTTATGTAGAGACTCACTAGTAGCCTAGACTTGTTGTTTAACGACTGCGCTCTGTCACCGGTAGGCGTGGCCTCCGTTGGCATTGAACCAAGTGCATTCTGGGAGTTGTTGTCTTTCATCCACATAAGCCAAAAATACATTTTCTGGCTTTTCTCAGTCTAGAAAGCTCCGAATTCACATTTCTTCTACATAAATGACCCATTTTAAATACACATTCATCTCTCCAGAGGTGAAGTATCCCTTTAAAAGCACCTGTCTCAGTAAGACCCAGAAAAAGCATGTCCTCTATAGAGACTGTAACTTTGTTTCCAAATATTGCGTCAGTCTTTAAAGTGCACGTATGGTGCCTGAAGCAGTCCGGTCTTGTTTTAGCAGCCCAGCTCATGTGAAGGACGACTGTAAGATTGAGAACACGCCTGATCTGAATGTGTGTGACGTTTGTATGGTTGTATCGTGGAACTGATAAAAAAAATCGGTTACACTTTATTGTAGCCCTCAAACCGTAATCACTTTATAGCCCTTAATCCTGGACTCAGGTGTGATCCCAATTTTTATTTATTATAAATGTTATATCACTGTCTTCGATAAAGTTTTGTCTATCCATTTATGGTGTTTTTTTTTTATTTTGGGGGTATTTTTGAATTTATTTACTTCAAAAAGTACCATATTTTCTATGTAAATTATGCTTATTTTTATGTTTTATTTTTCAATTTTTTTAACTACATTAAAATATCATTCCAATCAGTTCTTAGAGTTAAAACCTAAAGATGAAGTGACTTTGCCGTCACCTGGTGTCTTATTTTCGAATGCTCTAAATTACAGTTTTTCCCATTCATTTCTATGGGTGCCCATTTTTGACCCAAATACAAGATTAAGGAGTTTTTTTTCACCCACTTAACATTGTAGAATTGAGTCAAAAAAAATTGTGTGTTCAGGAGGCAAACTTAGGAAAAGTAGCCAAGTCTTGTACCGCTCAGATCAAGGGAAGTATTTTTAAAAAATAAATAAATCAAAACTATTTTGCCCACATTTGTCCAGAATACGGTTTTAGGGTTAAGGTGTCATTGTTAGAGTAATTATATATTTAAGTACCGAGTGATAATAATAATATAGTATTAGGATTTTATTGAGGGTTAGTTGCATGTAATGATGCATAATTTACTGTTATCACTAATGGTACATGTAACGTATGTAACAACGACACTGTAAAATAAAGGACATTACTAAAATTTCAGTATTCTACACTTTTAAGGCCATACAAGTAATTTGTTGAGGTCAATTTGTAAAGAAAGACTCGACTGTGCACATATACTGTATATACAAATGGACATACCTATAGACTAAACACATAATACGCATCTGCACAGCACTCTCACGGGGTCACGTTTTGACATTTGCACGGAGATGATAAGTTTTTTTCCTCAAGACTTACAGGTTTGTGCGGTTGTTGTGCGGATGAGCGGCCGGAGCGTGTTAGAACGGTCCCTAAGTTAGTGAATCAATCAAAACTAACTTTAGCTGGACAATAACTTTATCCTAGAGCTGCTGTAAAGCCAAAACAATTTCCTATTATCACTGTAAAGCTGCTTTTGAAACCATCTATATTGGTAAAAGCACTACATAAATGATGGCTGACTTGATTTGCTTGTGTCCAGACCAGCGCGTGTCGTCGTTCTGCAGCATGACGGACATGCAGAGAGCCGAAGCGCTCCAGATCTCGCGAGAACTCACCAGACGAGTGGCGGCCGCTGAAGGAGCTGCGCTGGAGGCCGGGTGAGCTGAACACTACACACTACTATACACTCCTGTTTTTTATTTTATATACAGCCTAACACTTCTGTCTCTGTCTTCAGCGATACGTCTCCGGCCACGCTGACGGGAAAAGTCAATCAGTTGGAGGTGATCTTGAGACAGCTGCAGTATGACTTGAAAAAGGTGAAGTGCGCTAATGGAGAACAATAGCTGCTTTTCCCTACGTCTCGCTGTAAATGCGAGGAAGTACGTCAGCTGTGATTGTGAGTTCACTGGAGGAAGGGTTTTGATGGGAAGGATAGAAAAACAATGTGTTGAAGCGAGAATCGCCACCTTGTCGGACCAATTTAAAGGGGTAGTTCACCCAAAAATGAAAATGATGTCATTAATGACTCTCATGTCGTTCCAAGACCTCCGTTCATGTTCAGAACAGTTATTTTAGATTTAGTCCGAGAGCTTCAGTGGAAATGTGTGTACAGTATACTGTCCTTGTCCAGAAAGGAAATAAAGACATCATCAAAGTAGTCATGTGACAATGTTTTGAAGCATCGGAAATGCATTTTGGTCCAAAAATAACAAAAACTACGACTTTTTTCAGCATTGTATTGTGTTCCGGTTCTGTTGCGGATCCGCGTTCAGTGACAAAGGTGAAATTTGTAAGATATCTAAAATGCTTTATTCCAGAGGTTTTTTAAACTTTTGAGAATAAAAATGTATTAAATGAATTTAATCATTTTGACCGCATTACCACCTTCGAAATATTAGATTTTGACAATATATAACCACTTTAAAAAAATACTGTAAAAATGACATAAAATAAACAAAAAAAATTAAAATTAAAAATTTGACATTGTTAGCACTCAAAATAAATTAAAAAGAATAATTAAAAGAAAAACAGATAAAATGACATGAAAAAATTGCCGCTTTACTGAAAAATTACAAAATGAAATAAATTATAAAAAAAATACAGTATTATCCATTTCTACAACATTACATCCTTCAGAATTTACAGAATTTGCAAATATTTGGGCATCTTGTATTTAAAAGTTTTAAAATCTGCTTTATCCTAGACACTGTGAAAAGTTGTAAAAAAATATATATATTGTTTTGAAATTGTCTTAAAATTATTGAGTTTTACAAGAAGATACAATTCGAGCCTTGGAAATATCACGTTTAATTTTGTAACATGCTGTTTTGTGTTAATTACTTGTGTTTAATTATTGATGAAATTTCTATGTTAAACACTACACCAGTTTTCATGTTTTCTTCTCTCTCATGGCCTTCCCCGTGTCTGATTTAACTTTCTCGAAGAATCTTCGCTGCTCGTTTCCACATAACGTCACCATAAAACACTAGTTCACTCTGTGTGTGTGTGTGTGTGTGTGTGTGTGTGTGTGTGTGCAGGAGAAGGAGGACAAGGCGATCCTGCAGGTGGAGGTGCAGAACCTGCGGCAGGACAACATGCGTCTGCAGGAGGAGAGCCAGACCGCAGCCGCTCAGCTCCGGAGGTTCACCGAGTGGTTCTTCCACACCATCGACAAGAAGCCTTGACGGAGACGCCGTCGGCCCGGAGTCCACAAGCACTGGAGAACTGCAGCCACCCACGCTAGCCAAGCCCAATCCTACTGCAATCCCAATGAGATGTAGAATGTAAGGACGCCGGCTGGTGGCGCGGGGTTAGCGTGGAGAATGTACTGAAGCACATCCTGGAGGTGGACTATGAATGTAACGCATCATTTCCTTCATTTCGGCCTCCGTTATTGAAAGGTACACAATCAAAACGTTGACGTTTCGACGGTACCTTTCGGCGCCCGCTCGTCGTGTCTCCTGAATGATTTCTGTCCGCTGATCGAAACATCCCTGAGGGGTTTCCTGAAGAAGTGTGTGTGTGCATGAACTCGCTCGCTCTGTTCCTGAAACACACACACGCGCAGTGAACCGCAGTCACATGCCAAACCCTGTCCATCTCTGTACAGAACCTCCAATCAAGTGTCTTGTATTTAACACTGTTATTTAAGCTTATTTAACCTAAATTAGTTTATTTTATTAAAGTGGAAACGGCAAGGCAGAGAGACCGTGTCCGATTCATAGATTTATTGATGATTTGTCTGGGTTTTTTTTCTCCCTCATTCCAACATTTGGATGCTGCTAGATAACACTTTGGTTTCTACGCTTTTACAAATGTGTTTCTCTGTAAATTGAGTTTGTGTAAGATGGGACATTGGTTGCTTTTTTTAAATAAATGTAGTATGTAAAATCAATCTGTGGTGCATTTTTTAATATTTCAGGTTCGAGGAATAAACTAATTGATGGGCAAATTTATATTGTCCATTATATGTATATTATTTACATATCTTATGATTTCAGAGTTCTAGATAGCAATTTTTTCATTAATATATATATATATATATATATATATATATATGTGTGTGTCTGTGTATATATATATATATATATATATATATATATATATATACTGTATATGTGTCTGTGTGTGTGTATATATATATATATATATATATATATAATATTTTGATTAATTGTTTTAAGATCGTGTCTGGAAAAAATTATCATTGCTCCTTTATTTCTTTTTATTTTGTCTTTTGTATTATGACAATTTGGAGGGGAAATTTGTTTATTGTCATAAAAACAATAAAGCAAACAAATGCAAAATTAGATGAAAGTGCTAAATATTTTTATTTTATCATTTATAATATTTCAGGTTCTAGGAATAAAGTAATAGATGAGAAAATTTCAATTGTCCATTATATCTATATTATTTACATATCTTATGATTTCAGAATTCTATAGCCATTTTTTTCATTAATTTTAATATATATATATATATATATATATATTACGTTATAAATTGTTTTCTTTATACATAATGATTATATTTTTGATACATTTTTTTAAGATCGTGTCTTGACAAAATGATCATTGCTGCTTTATTTTATTTATTTTTATTTATTTTGTCTTTTGCATTATGACAATGACAATTTGGAGGGAAAATTTGTTAATTGTCATAAAAACAATAAAGCAAACAAATGCAAAATTAGATGAAGTGCTAAATTTTTTTTTTTATGAATAAGATAAGAAATGTGCTTATAATAATAATAATGAAAAAAAGCGTGTCTGTTTTCTTATAAATTTAAAATGCAAATGCATTTATTTTTGTTATTTTTTGCATTATGGTAATGATAATTTTGAGGGGGAAATGTGTTAATTGTCATGATAATAATGCAAAACAAATTGTAAAATTAGAAATGTCTTTTTTTGCATTATGGTAATGAGAATTTGTTGGGGAAATGCTCTCAATTGTCACAATAATAATAATGTTACAATGCAAAAAAAAAAAAAAAAAAAAAAGAAAACTACTAAAAGTAGATTTGATTTCCATATGACGTATGGCTGGATGTTTCCTCTTGAGATTCACATCTGGATCTGCAAACATCTGCCTGTCTCTCCTCCAGTGATTTCATCCTCTTTCTGATGACGGACATTTTCTCCAGTTCAGCGGAAGCAGAGAATTATTGTTGCTATGGGTTTTTGTTGCCATGGAAGCGGCATATTCCACAGAGGAGCCTTTCGGGAAAACCTGCCTGAGAATAAGTTCATCTGTAATGGACACTTATCTGTGGTTCTACAGATGGACCTGGTGAGAGAGAGAGAGTGTGTGTGTGTGTGAGAGAGAGAATATATAATTACTTTCTCTCTAAACTTCACAAAAATTCTGTTTAGTGTCCAAATGATTTGACAACTACATGCAACACTCATTCCCTTCCCTAATTCTCAGTTTGCAGATGTGAAAGTGCAATAATGTCCTCTGTCTGCTTCATTAGGAAGAGAGGAAACCACTTGTACGACAGACGTCTATAAAACAAGTGAAGAAAGACACGAGACGCCGATGCTGCTCTCTCTGGGACACTCACACCGACTGACTCCATTATTCATGTCGCTCTATTTCAGAACCGTGATCATATATGCCAGTGGTGGCAGAAGCTGTTCAAGTGAGGTTCAGTCCACAACCCCACCGCAAGGGATTGTGGGTAAGAAGCATGTGGACATCAGCTATAGTCATCAGTGAGAGCCGCTGATTCAAACATCATCTGGTTTTCATGGATAAATCTGAGCACAATTTGTTGAGAAACTCTGAAGACACATTTTTTAATCTCATTTCCATCTAGAAGAAACGATTGTGATATTAAAGAGATGATTTTTGTATTTATTTTGTGCTTGCAATCATCAAACCTGAAGCATCAGCAGTTCTGTGAGGACATCTAGAGATTGCTCACTATTTGAGGTTTCCTACAGAGATCATCACCAATGTTTCTGGCATCGATGGAACACAGAATGGTAGATTATACTTCCATAGACCATCATTTGGATGAAACGCAATCGATTTATCACGAATCAGGGTATACCAAATCTCACATTGCTCTGAAAGCCAAAGCCTGGACTCGAGCGCTTTCGTCATTGTTTAAAACTCCAGAAGACGCAGTAAAACGGACCCATCATCAGTTGTGCAGTCCTCATTCGAGACCCCATCTGCTCTCCTGGCAGAGACACCAGACACAGATTAAATGTCTCCATTAAGCGAGACTCTCAGAGATCCGGCTCGTGTCTGAGACTGCGGCCATGTTGTGCGAAGCCCAGCCGGTTTGGCAGCTTGGGTTCGCCTGAAACCGTCCAAAGAAAGCTCCAGTGAAGCACCAGAGGCCATCAGCACATAATGAAGACAAAATACACAGACGCTCGGGTTTAGCTTCTGATCACACATGCATACGACCGACCGCCATCTCCTGCCAACACAGAAGATCCACCCTCATGTGGCTTGATCCTGGAGCCCTGATGCAAATCACACACAAAACGGCAGGAGCTTTTGGCAGATTCTACACTCTTCATGGTTTTTTGTTTGTTTGTTTGTTTGTTTGTTTTTTGCAGCAATGCAATTGAAGAACCATTTTTGGTTCAGCAAAGAGCCATTTATTTTCTTCTCACTCTCAAAAATAGTGGTTATTTATTAGCATTGATGGGTCCAAGAAGAATCTCGCGGGATCTTTCAATTGCATAAGATTCATACACTGTAAAAAATATTTTCAAGATTTGTTATACACCTGAGTGCAAAAATGGAGGTTCTAGACCCTTCCAGAGCTGAGATATCGAAACTCAAATTTTCGACCAGAAAAAAAAAACGACAGTGTTACCCCTTGCATTTTTTTTTTTGGGGCGAAAAATTAAGTTTCTCCAATCTTCTTGAAACTCTGGATTCTGATAGAGGGCCATGGGACTTACACCTGAGTGCAAAAATGGAGGCTCTAGACCCTTCCAGAGCTGAGATATCGAAACTCAAAATTTCGACAAAAAAAAAAAAACGACAGTGTTAGCCCTTACGTTTTTTTTTTTTTGGGTGCGAAAAAAAAGTTTATCCAATCTTCTCAAAACTCTGGATTCTGATAGAGGGCCATGAGACTTACACCTGAGTGCAAAAATTGAGGTTCTAGACCCTTCCAGAGCTGAGATATCGAAACTCAAAATTTCGACCAGAAAAAAAAACGACAGTGTTACCCCTTACGTTTTTTTTTTGGGCGAAAAATTAAGTTTCTCCAATCTTCTCAAAACTCTGGATTCTGATAGAGGGCCGTGAGACTTACACTTGAGTGCAAAAATGGAGGCTCTAGACCCTTCCAGAGCTGAGATATCGAAACTCAAAATTTCGACCAGAAAAAAAAACGACAGTGTTACCCCTTACGTTTTTTTTTTGGTGCGAAAAAAAAGTTTCTCCAATCTTATTGAAACTCTGGATTCTGATAGAGGGCCATGAGACTTACAATTGAGTGCAAAAATGGAGGCTCTAGACCCTTCCAGAGCTGAGATATCGAAACTCAAAATTTCGACCAGAAAAAAAAACGACAGTGTTACCCCTTACGTTTTTTTTTTTGGGTGCAAAAAAAAAAGTTTCTCCAATCTTCTTGAAACTCTGGATTCTGATAGAGGGCCATGAGACTTACAATTGAGTGCAAAAATGGAGGCTCTAGACCCTTCCAAAGCTGAGATATCGAAAAAAAAGTTTCTCCAATCTTCTTGAAACTCTGGATTCTGATAGAGGGCCGTGAGACTTACACTTGAGTGCAAAAATGGAGGCTCTAGACCCTTCCAGAGCTGAGATATCGAAACTCAAAATTTCGACCAGAAAAAAAAACGACAGTGTTACCCCTTACGTTTTTTTTTTGGGTGCGAAAAAAAAGTTTCTCCAATCTTCTTGAAACTCTGGATTCTGATAGAGGGCCGTGAGACTTACACTTGAGTGCAAAAATGGAGGCTCTAGACCCTTCCAGAGCTGAGATATCGAAACTCAAAATTTCGACCAGAAAAAAAAAACGACAGTGTTACCCCTTACGTTTTTTTTTTTGGGGTGCGAAAAAAAAGTTTCTCCAATCTTCTCAAAACTTTGGATTCTGATAGAGGGCCTTGAGACTTACACTTGAGTGCAAAAATGGAGGCTCTAGACCCTTCCAGAGCTGAGATATCGAAACTCAAAATTTCGACCAGAAAAAAAACGACAGTGTTACCCCTTACGTTTTTTTTTGGGTGCAAAAAAAAAGTTTCTCCAATCTTCTTGAAACTCTGGATTCTGATAGAGGGCCATGAGACTTACAATTGAGTGCAAAAATGGAGGCTCTAGACCCTTCCAGAGCTGAGATATCGAAACTCAAAATTTCGACCAGAAAAAAAAACGACAGTGTTACCCCTTACGTTTTTTTTTTTGGGTGCGAAAAAAAAGTTTCTCCAATCTTCTCAAAACTTTGGATTCTGATAGAGGGCCATGAGACTTACACTTGAGTGCAAAAATGGAGGCTCTAGACCCTTCCAGAGCTGAGATATCGAAACTCAAAATTTCGACCAGAAAAAAAAACGACAGTGTTACCCCTTACGGTTTTTTTTTGGGTGCGAAAAAAAAAGTTTCTCCAATCTTCTCAAAACTCTGGATTCTGATAGAGGGCCATGAGACTTACACCTGAGTGCAAAAATGGAGGCTCTAGACCCTTCCAGAGCTGAGATATCGAAACTCAAAATTTCGACCAGAAAAAAAAAACGACAGTGTTACCCCTTACGTTTTTTTTTTGGGTGCAAAAAAAAAGTTTCTCCAATCTTCTTGAAACTCTGGATTCTGATAGAGGGCCATGAGACTTACAATTGAGTGCAAAAATGGAGGCTCTAGACCCTTCCAGAGCTGAGATATCGAAACTCAAAATTTCGA